ACCCACACCAGCCAGAGGAAAGAATGTTGGACTTAGAACTGAAATTTGTTGGTTCAGATTCCCAGTTCGGTCATGAACTTGCTGGATAAACTTGGTCAGGTCACTATATCCCTATCTCATGTTGTAATCATGGGGCATGATCTTATAAAATAAATAAGAATAAAAGTGTAAAGTGCTCAAGAAGAGCTACATAAATGGTTAATACATGTGTTTACTTCCTAGAAAGTTTTTTTCTTTTTAAAAGCACTGGTGAACTTATCTGAGAACTTTACAATGTAAACATCTGGCACATAAATAAGAGTGCCGTATGTAAAGGCTGCCATCTCATTGACCAGGAACTTAACTTTAAGCAGTATGTGCTAACATTACAGTGAGCATGTCTGGTGTTGGTGATAGTTCTCTCTCAAACTTCATGTATAGTTTGACAGCTTGCGCAAAGATGACCTTTTCCTGTGTATCCCTGTCAAGCAGTGAGTATAAACTTGCTATTTTTGTAAAATGGCAGTTGGCGCCCTCAACGGCTTTCCTTCCTCAAACTGCCCTGCTTTTTCAACCTGCGTCTGTGACCCTTTTGATAGGTTTGCTGCTTCTGACCCTGCTCTTGAAGTGACCTGAGCTAACACTCTGTGTGCTGCATGGCATCTTATCTGATAGGTCATTGTTCTTTGTGGTCTGTGCATCACACATATGGGTGCCATGCCTACATGGGACCTGTTGTCAGGAAGAATTACTAGCTAAGAGCATTTTGGTGAGACCCCCTCCCCCATTCCCGCATCTAGTATGAAAGGGAGGAGTTCCTACCTACTTCCTCCATTCTTCTTTGATTGCCTTCACCAGAGCCTCAGGAAAGTTGCCTTTCTTCCATCTCCTTTCAGCTGTAAGCTTCCCCTACCCCAACTGTTTTTTTGCCTTACTATAGAGCCCGTTTTTTCACTTCAATCTTACGATCTCCGAACTCTCCTTATTTTTCTCATCTCTGGGGGATGGTGGAGGACAGGAAAGCCTGGAGGAATGTTGTCCATGGGGTCACAATGGGTCGAACACAACTTCACGACTAACAACAACAATCCATTTTTCCCTCCTTCCACAACCCTCTCCAATAAATGAAAAGATAATTCTTTTCTTTTATTGTCGTTGTCTTCCCACGCTATTCCAACCCTGCAGCCTCCTTCTCAGCAAACCACTATCCAAGGACCTGAGTGCTGGAGAGACTGCTCTCAGGTGCCACTCTCAGAGACACCCTTCCTAGTCCATCCCACCAGTGTGCTAAGTCCCCTATAATCCTTGGAGCTTTCCTCCATACCAAGGCTCATACTATGATCCTTGGTACAGAGTGGGCTATCAGGCTTATTTGACTTGGGAGCTATACCAACCTGATGCCAACTCCACCTCCTTGCCCTCTCTAGCCAGTTTTTTCAGACTTCAGGTCCAGGCACTTTCAAAGTACCTCACCTCATCAAGACCACACTGCCATTTCACCTGTCCTACACCTGTATAATCTGGTCAGTCTTATCCTAGAGATGGTGACATGAAGGACTCTGCATCAGATATGAACACGTATATGTCACCTGCTCCACCTACATCCTTTCCAGACACACAAGAGCCACCATTGACTTCACTGGACCTGGGCCATTTCTCCCAGCAGATACAGAGGATGGCCCAGGCACTGGGGTTGGCAACACAGTTACAACCAGAAGGGGTGACAGATCTCATTTTCGATGTGATCCATACCAAAGCCTTGACCCTGGGGCTTATCCCCTTCTTACCTACATCCCTCCAGGCCATGTAGCAGTTGTGGAAGTCCCCTTACTTGTGCCACCAACCTCGGGAAGACTCAACAACATGTACAAAGTGTACAATGAAGACACGATCTTCCTTTTTCAGCACCCTAAGCCAAACTCCATCACACTGAGACCACTCAGCCCCAGTTGACCGAGAAGATCACCACCTGGATTCCTTGGGAAGGAGCATTTACTCTTCCTCAGCTCTGGGACTTGGGTGGCCAACTACCAGGCCACTATAATAAGGGAGCAACTCTTCCTTTGGAAGATGCTGGGTGCCCTCACTGATCACCTTCCAGAGTAGCAAAGCATGTTTCAGATTGAGGCAATGCAGCTTTTAAGGATCCAGATCAACACCACTTGTCACCAAGCTGTGAGCCCTATGGTCAGCATGGTGGCATTCAGGAGACACGCCTGGGTTCATTCATCTGATCTCCTCCAGGAGGCCTGCTCCTGGTTTGAAGATCTGCCCTTCAGTGGGAAAGGGCTATTCAGTGAGAAGACTGAACACATGAACCAGGACATTATTTTACCTGCTTTTTCCCTTCCCCGTGCAACCTGATGGAGTCAACACTGCCTAGCTTGAACATGTATAGACTGCTGACATTCTACTGCTCCAGGACAAAATCTTTCAATCACAGAGGTTTTTTATCTGCTATAGGGGCAGTAATAAAAGACAGCCGGTCTCATCCCAAAGGCTTGTGACTTGGGTTGTACAAACTATCTTTCTGGCATATGAATTATCTGGCCTACAGCTACCAAGCTCTCCTAAGGCACATGCCTCCAGGGCAATGATGAGATCTACAGCTCTCCATGCTAGGATTCTACTGCCTGACCTATTCAGGTCTGCTGCTTGGTCATTAGGTACTACAAACTCAGTGTCCGCACCAAATCTGACTGCCTTTCGGAGAGCAGTTCTCTCATCTATTCTATGCTGATGGCATCATCCTGCCATCCACATTTAGGAAAGCTCATCAGGTGCCCATAGGTGTGATGCACAGAGACCATGAAGTAGAATGTTTGCTTACCAGCAGTTCTTCAAGCAGTCATCTGTGCCTTCACATGACCCACCGGCCGAACCCACTTGGCATCATAATGTTATTCTCCTTTCTACTATTTTTCCTCTGTTCCTTTTTTCCTTCTGATTGAAATCTATTGACTTTGTCAGGAGCAAGGTTGTCCTGAGAGCCCTCCCTTGGTCCTGAGGCCGCCTTGGCAGTCTCAGTTGAGCTGAGGGAGTGGGCAGGAATTCCTCCTTTTCCTACTAGACACTGGGCTGGAGCTCTTAGCTGGTAAATCTTCCCAACAGCAGGCTCCACACAGGCAGAGAGCCCATATGTGTGAACGGACAGATGACCACTTGCAGAATGACAGTTGTAGGTAAGCAACCTGACTATCCTGAAGCACAGGGATCTCATACATCCTCACTTGAATTCAATTAAGTACATGGTCATCCAGCTGTTTAGACCCGTGTGATCCTTGCCAAAGATGGAGCAGGCTGCTCTGGCTTCAATGGTGGAACATCTCTCCATCTTTGACCATAGCTTGGGGCTTTCATACCTTTAATCTTATCACGGATAATTGAAAACAGCAATGTCAAACTGTTTCAAGGCAATCTTACCTAACTAGGCGACTCACCCAAGCAAAAGAATGCCCTTTTGAAATCAAAGAAGATGCTGGTCTCAACCATTGAGGCTTTTGATATTTACTAATGAAGGGTCATTTCAGTAATCCAGAATCTGCAAAAAGTAGGCAACCTTTTCCTGTGAAGGCAGCATTTCCACATAAGTAATTCGTCAAGAGTTGCGTGCTGGAAGGCATCAGATTCAAAGCCACCAGTGGGCAGCAGAGCTAAAAGTGAGTGGGTCACCTCTTTTCTTTCTTCCACCCCACTTCTCTCTCCTTCCTTCCCACACAACAGGTTGTCCAGGATGGGACAGATGGGACTTGTCAGAGGTATAAAGGCTCTGAAAGGCCTTTTGAAATTGGGCGGAGCGCCATGTGAAATTAAGCCAAGGGACACAGGTTGCCCACCTCTGTTCTACACGATTACAAGAGACATGGACTCAATGAATATAAAACTCTACATTAAAACTGCTAAAGGCTAATAGATTGAAAATCTGTAAGGTTGTATTAAAATTCATCAAATGTTGCATCACAAATCAAAAGTAGAGAAATGTATTCTTCACTAAATATCCTATTAACTAGTACAAAAGACAAGAGAGAACTGAATATATCACTAGAAACTGAATATGAAACTGAAGGCATTCCAAAAGATTGAAGCCATACCTAAAGAAAGGTAAAGCAAAATATAACCAGAGATACAATCTTCACTTTCAGTCCTAGAGGAACCGGATTTAAAATTGGATTCAAAGAGAAACTCCAAAGGGGAGTGGGGGATAATTGTTTGTTATTAAAGCACTATTTAAATATCTGCAAATGTAAAATTGTCCATTTTTGCAAGCTTCTGTAATCTCTGCATCCCTATTTTTACTGTATTATTTTTTAAAGGAAATTATGAAAATACCTTGATTTTAGGCAGATATGAATTCATGTTTGCATTTTTATAACACAGGAAGGTGACTTTGGTGGGGACAAGCAAGCTACATCTGCAAAGGCTTCACAGTGAGAAGACACTCTGCTGAATGATGGTTTATGCAATGCAATATTAACTGCTTGGTGGGGGGAATGAGAACAATCAATGAAAAAACTGTGAGAATTAAAACAGCATTAAAAAACTGTGAGAAGTATACTGTTTCTTCGCCAATTAGAATCTAAAGAATGTTTTGTCATGTTAAACTTTCTTACAATATACAACCAAGTCTTTCCCATGCTGAAACTTTTGGTTTTGGTGCAATTCCTTTCTTCACAAAGCACCACCTTTCCTTTGAAACCCACTTTCACTCTGGAGGAAAGCGGTAAGCCCTTTCAGTTTGAATTGCTTCATACATTACATCTGTAGGTGTATTCCAAAGATGTTCTATGTTTACACCCAAAAAAAATAATATGTAAAAGCAACCAAAGATGCATCTGCTATTACATGAATCAGAGTTGGGACACTTGTTCAGATTAACTGCAGATTGTTGAGTATAATCAGTGGCAAACCTGGGATTGCCTCTGTGTAAAGTGTAAAATGGTTTTCTGTTAAAAAATATTATTTAAGTTCAGTTTTGTTTCTGTGATTGCTGATTTTGTTTTAATTATTTGCTTTATATGCAGCAGACAAGAACATTTCCAGTATGGCATCTAGACCTGCGCCTGGCAAAATGGAATGGATCATTCCTCTCATTGTAGTGTCAGCCCTGACATTTGTGTGCCTCATACTTCTTATCGCTGTGCTTGTTTACTGGCGGTGAGTCTTTCTGAAGAATCTGAATTCATGATTGTAAACACTTTTGTTAAAGTGTTTTGATGTTTTTGCTTTCATTTCATTTTGTTCTTCATGGACTGGAGCTGGTGACAAATGCTTATCGCAGTAGCTCTTTTGTTTCCAATCCATCCATTTTTAATCATAAATAAGTCCTGGTAGGGGAACCTACTTTATACATCATTGATTCCAAGTGGAATCACCAATTAAAGAATCTAACAGAAATTGAAGAAAACCTCAGCCTAAGATGTGACAGCATATTTTGGGATCCTGCGTATTGGCCAAACTCACAACACAGAAACCCATTGTAGGTTGTCATTTTGTCAGAAACAAGTCATTGTTGGACAGCAGTTCCCATAATTTTCAGCTGTAATGGCCAGTGTGCAGGGCTAATAGGTTTGTCCCAAAAACTGGGATCCTAAAGTTGGGAATCGACGCTTTGGAGAGCTGCTACTAGTCAGGGTTGATAGGTGCGGCCTTGACGAATTCAGTGTAAGTTCTTATTTTTTACAGTGCAGTTCAGATGCGATTACTATAAACCTACAGCGGACAATTTATGGCCCTCCAGATGTTTTGGTCATCCATCATCCCTCACTGTTGCTTAACACTTATGAGAATTATAAGCCAACTTCTTATTTTGAGAAGTACAAGTTGCCTAGCTGTGCTGTAAACTGTAGCCAGATATTGCTTCAGATGTTTAACTAAACAATGGTCTATGTAGCACATTACTCAGAAGTGAGCTGCAAAGAAGGTGCCTTTTGGGTTGTGTGTTTTCAGTGTCATTTCACCGCTCCACCAACCTTCTGGGGAGAAGTAAGTAGATTACTATATTGGTGACAGCCATTTATGTAAAAGATAAAGAAAGGTAAAATATATAAGATAAACAGTAAGAAATATAATAGTAATGAGCCTTATACAATTAGTGTGTCAAATGAAATATAATATGGATAGAAATATAAAATGATCAGGCATGTACCAGTAACATCTCCAAAATGGATGCATGACTGAGAATAATAATGGATTCACAAATGGTAGTTTGTATAGATTGCCTCATTATTGCATCTCAGTATTATGTTTTATCAGGGCCAGTGTGGTGCCACTGTGAATTGCCCAGAGAGCTTTGGCTGTTGGGTGCGATGGTGATGGTGATGATGCACTAAACAAACCACAACCACTTTTCAGTTCATACATTCCTCTCTCCTCTGGGCATGGCCATGGGAAAGATTTTGGATTCCATTCAGATTAACCAGTTTGTCATGACATTTGAACTCAGTAAAATGTGGTTAATTTTAACTATAGTTTGTTAAAACAACTCCACTTCAAATAATAGTTTATGATGTTGGCCTGTTCCAATTAACCATAGCTAAAATTAATCACAGTTTAGTTTCAAAAGTCACACTAAACTTCAGTTAATATTCTTATCTCACAGCCTCTCCAGAGAAGAGGAAAGCACAGGGAAGATTAGTTTAATGCCTATTGTAGAATATTTGTGTAACACTAAACTATGATTTAGCACAACCTTTCCCACCTCCTGCCCTCCAGGTGCTTTTGGATTTTAGTTCCCATCAGTCACCATAGTCAGAATTCAGGATAGGAGGATGCTTTGCTGGAGAAAGCTGGTTTAGTGTTATGTCCAGCATGGTCGTTGACATGTGGATATGTGCATTGGTGCAGTCATCCCCAGGTAACCAAAGGGGAGGGATCCTGTTCTTGCACAGATTCTGGTAGTAGCACTTCCCATAGGCAGTAATATTGCTGACTGCATTGAAATGTGCTTTACATAGTACTTGTGAGTTCCCCTTCAATTCCCTCTTTGTCCTTAGGAAAAATGAACAGTTTATCACTGGGGAGGGGGGCGTGTTCAGGCTCAAAAGATCTAATTTAAGTTAGGAAATTGGTATTGAACCAGGGCATCAGAAATGCAAGTATAACACACAGTGAAATAGGCAACATATGGAATCATTTTGTAAATGAGGCCATCAAAGCAAATAACATGAGAATGAGTTCAGATGCACTGTTTTCTCTTTCCACAGAAGGAAATGTGGTATCAAAATGAACAGTACCAAAAATAAATATCTTTTTCAATAGTTAAGAAAATCTGTCCCTCTAGTTGAAAGTCTTGTTAGGCCACGATATAATTTCTTGACCAGGTTCCTTCCTTCCGTCCGTCCGTCCTTCCTTCCTTCCTAGCTTTCATGTGGTAAATAAGACAATAGCAAGATCAAAATGGAATCAGAAAATGCAAAAAACTCATATTTTCCTTTGGCAATATAGTGGGAAGAGGAAATTGCTTGATATTTTTCATTCTTTAGAATGTGAGAGACTGGCAAAGTGATCCTGTGGCCCAAAGACAACTTCTGAAGGGCCACAGAATTTTTTGGATTCCAGGTACAAGCTCTCTGATCTCAGATCTAGGCTCAGATCTATCCTCATATCTAGCATGGAAAGAGTCACATCAGCTGTCTCTCCAGGGTCGTAAAAGAGACCTCAGAAAAGAGATTTAGGAGCCAGGCTACTGGGTAGGGAGGAAAAAGACAGGAACTACCAAGTGTGGTATATCTTGATGGTGCCTCAGCCTTCTTCTCTCCCACTCTGAAACTGGCCATCTTGCTAATTCGCAGGGCAGGAGGAGTGTGGACTTTACCTCTGCATTCTTCTCACTCCAAACAGGATGCCTGTAGTCCTTCTGAGTTCGGAGGGTCTACTGGGTTGCACCCCAAATATTTAAGGACTGAGTGACATAAATAGAGCACTGAAGGAAAGAGAAGCCATCTGGTATCTATATTGTTCTGATGCCATACCAACATAGAAATCAAAGGGCAGTGACTGGTTGGGGAACGCTGGGAGTTGTAGGGTTTTCTTCACTCTAAATATGAGTGTGTGATCAATCAGACTTCCTAGCCTGGTTCCCTCCAGCTGCTTTAGACTATAGTTGCCAGAATTCCTGACAACCAGCCATGATGATCAGCTGGTGCTGATGAAGATTGGAGTCTAAAGCATCTGGTGAAGTACAGGCTGGGGAAGGCTGATCAAAATAGTATTTCAAATAATTGTATTCAGTCACTTCTAGCAATACCTTTTTAAGGGATGAAACTCTGGAGCAGTTAGCCTGGTGCCAAAGGATCTGTTAGGACATGGAGAGATGGTGACTGGGTTTGCATGTCATGTGAACCCGCCTGCTCCCCTTTATTAAATTTATATGCCACTTCACATTACAAAAAGCAGTCTTGAAGGAGCCTACACACTCAGTTACAGACATCCACAATATATATCAGCCATCCCAAACCAATATAGACCACATCAGCACAATAATACAGATAAAAAGATGTACCACAAAAACATAGTTCAAAACTAATATAATACAAAAGGTATTCATCCACGATATGTTAATTCTCTTCTCCGCCTCTGGGGCCTAGAATTAACACCTCAAAAGCAACCCACCAACTGGTCAATACTCATGTCAAAATCCCAGGGAAAATGAGCACACCACACATAAGCATCTGTATCTCTAGGGTGACCCTTCTGCCGCTGAATTTACATTCAAGAAATGGATGAAGCACCTGGTCTTGTGTTGTACCATCCATTCATGTGCCTTGCCCTCACCTGCAATCCACAAGTTTGGCATACAGAGGAAGGGGCTCAATGCATTTGCACCAAGATATTAGAACAGGGAGTAAGCTAACTTACTAACATCCCTCCATAAATCCTTTAAATGCACTGAAATGTTATTTGAACACACACCCACACCCCCCCTTGTCATGATGTTTTCATTATTGACAGGCAAGGCCCATGAGAGGTCTGCGTTTTGCCAGGCTTGACCATCTCCTCCTCCACCACTTCAGCCCCTGCAGTCAAAAATATTTTGTCAAAAATTTTAGAGCTGGAAGGGCTCCAGTCTCCTGCTATAGCAGGACACCAATTTACACCATCCCACTCGGATGACTGTCCAGTTTTGCCTTGAATGTCTCTAGTGTGGGAGAGCCCACCGCTGCTCCAGGCAACTGGTCCCACTGTTATATTGCTCTGACCATGAGGAAGCTTTTCCCGATGTCCAGCCTGAATCTGGGTTGTCACAACTTGAGTTGATTGTTCTGTGTCTTATACTCTGGTATCAGCAAGAAGAGATCTTGACTTTCCTCTTTGTGACAGCCTTTGAGGTACTTACATAGGGGTAACATGTCCCCCCTCGGTCTTCTCTTCTCAAGGCTGAACATGCCCAGTTCTCTCAGTCTCTCCTCATAGGGCAGTGTTTCCAAACCCTGGATCATTTGTGTTGCCCTCCTCTGGACCCTTTCTAATCTTTTGGCTTCTAGATTCAATCTTGGTGCCCAGAATTGGGCACAGTCTTCTAGATTTATATTTCTGTAATCTTCATTGAACAGGCTCTGAGGGCAACAGGGCTGGAACAATGAAAGATCACAGGCCCTGGGTTGCCCACCGCTTCTTTATTCTAAATGCTGAGAGATTGCAACAGAAAGATTCATTGAGGGGGAATTTTCTTTGCTGTGTTATCACTGTGGTCAGACAACTAATGTACTGTTCAATTAAGGTTGCTTTGGTTCCTTTGTTTGTATTATTGTATGGCAGTTTAGCTCTAAATATCCTTCATCAGCAGAGTACTCAAACCTGAATCCTGGGATGGACATCCTGCCACAAAAGAGTGGCATCATTCCAAGATATTGCAAGTATTCTTGGTTTCAGGGAGCAACCTGCGTTTAGAAAGCCTTCCCATTCTTTGTGTAGTGTTGAGATGCTATTAAAAAATATGCCACTGAATCCCTGTGCATCTGATGGCATTATAAAATGTCAAACCTCTGGAATGTCTGTAACTGTTAGCATCATTGGAGAGAACTCTCCAGAAAAATCTCTCTCTGAATCAGATAGCAGAAAAAGATCTTAGTACAGGAGTGTGGCATATTTAAGTGGACATTTAGTTATTTTAATTGCACTACATCCTAGTTATATTTTGCTCTTTGTATTTTAAA